GGGAGCGCCACCACGCTTCCCAAGCGGCGCACTATCCAGTGCGCCACCGGGCCGGCCCTACCTCAGCCCTTTTGACTTCCCAATGCTGCACTCCCCAGAGATAATTACTGTTAATAGTTTTAGACATAACTGTTTGTTTTTTTCTGCCATGTACAAGCTATATTTATTTTACTAAACATGATCATACTATAATGTTTAACTCCAGTTTTGCAACCTGAGTTAAAAAAAATCATATAACATTTAAACCATTCAAAATACAGTCATGTATTGCTTAATAACAGGGAGATGTTCTGAGAAATGCATTATTAGGGGGTTTTGTTGTTGTGCAGAAATGTGTTATGAAAAGGAACAACAATGAATTTTCCTGTTATCTACACTGGCTGCTAGTTGCATGAGCGTGGGCTCTCTTAGTATGTTACTAAGTTTCCTTGTGCCTCACTTTCCTCATCTGTTAAATGGGGATTAGAATAATACCACCCCTACAAGGTATGAAAATTAAATTATAGGTAGGGATCATGCCTGGCACTCAGCAAGCACCCAGAGAGTGTTAGCTGTTATTAACTATTATTTTGCTATGGGAATTGGTGGGAATCATTTAAAAATGCAAGAATTCTAAAATAGGCAATAGTCTTCCCACTTGGGGCCAGACCTAATGTGCAAATGGTTGGATTTCTATTTTAAAGGTCTAAGCTACTTTTGGGAGGGTCATCCTGTGGGTAAGTTAGGTAGGCACTCCACCTCAACATAATTTGCAGTAGGTTTGTTTACACCTGTATCACCACAAATGTAATGTGTTGTGCTATGCCATTATGATGGATATGACAGCCAATGTCACTAGGAGATAGAAATTTTTCAGCTCCATTATAATTTTATGGGACCACCATCGTATTACACAGTCCATCGTTGACCAAAATATTGTTAGGCAGCACATGACTGTATACAAGAAATTATGAATATGGTGAGCATTCATGTATTTAGCACCTAGCTTAAGAAATAAAATACTAAAGGAGGCTGCCCATGGCTCACATGGGAGAGTGTGGTGCTGACAACACCAAGTCAAAGGTTAAGATCCCCTTACCAGTCATCTTTAAAAAAAAGAAAGAAAGAAAGAAAATACTAAGAATATAGTCGAACTCCCTATATACTTGATTACATCCTCTCCCCCCACCCAGAGGGAACCACGATCCTTAATTTGGTGTTTGTCATAAAAAAAAAGAAAGAAAGAAAGAAAATACTAAGAATATAGTCGAACTCCCTATATACTTCTTGATTACATCCTCTCCCCCCACCCAGAGGGAACCACGATCCTTAATTTGGTGTTTGTCATTCCCATACATTTATTTATATTTTTACGACATGTATGGGGGTATTTGTTTGCATATTTTTGGACTTTATGTATTCTTCTGCAGCTTGCTTGTTTTTGTGAGCTTCATGCATATGTGTAGTTCTGGTTCATTTATTTTCACACAGCATCTTCATCTTTCTCCTTACAGGAACACCATAATGCGAGAGCTTGCCCCACAGTTTCAGATCCCCTGGTCCATCCCCACAGAGGCTGAGGACATTCCCATTGTTCCTACCACATCTGGCACTATGTAAGCAAAGTAAAAAATCTGGAGTAACATATTAAGACACTTGGGATTCCTTAAGCCAGACCAATGATTACTTCCTGACCCTACACTATCTGACTAGTGGAGCCTGCACCTCTTCTAGGCATTGTCTTTAAGTCTACCTATATTCCTAACCTCAGATCCCTTTTCCTCTGTTCTTTGACATGTCTAATAGGATGTGATGAGGGGAGGCAGGGTGAGGGAGAAGTTCTGATAACATTCCTGATCTTAGGATGGAACTTCGTTGTGTCATTGCGATTATCCGTCATGGGGATCGTACCCCCAAGCAGAAGATGAAGATGGAGGTGACACACCCAAGGTAGGAAGAGTGTCCTAATTTAGACAAGTAGGTTTTTGTGAGGGAGATTGGGTGGTGGGCAGCTCCCAGAGGCTTTTACTATCTCACCCACCGAAGCTTATCCTTACTTCAGGTTTTTTACTCTGTTTGAAAAACATGGTGGCTACAAGACAGGGAAATTAAAACTAAAGCGACCTGAGCAGCTCCAGGTAAGGAAGTGAATCTGCCAGGAGGGATGGTGCTATGGGAAAGATGGAGGGTATGGAATCTGGGGCCTTGATGAGAGACTAGGCTGAAAGAGTTAACTGTCCAGGATTTGGCCTCCTAACATGGATAATTTATTACTTCCTCTAGGAGGTTCTGGACATCACGAGGCTGCTGTTGGCTGAACTAGAGAAAGCACCAGGTGGTGAGATCGAGGAGAAGACTGGGAAACTAGAGCAGCTGAAGTCTGTGTTGGAGATGTGAGAAAGGGGATAGCAAAAGGGAGTCAATAACAGTGAGAATTGGGGAGCTGGGGCAGAAAGTAAACTGTGACTTTATCCTGCAGGTATGGTCACTTCTCAGGTATCAACCGGAAGGTTCAATTGACTTACTATCCTCATGGAGTAAAGGCTTCTAATGAGGGGCAAGGTAAGTTATAATCTCCCTTCCCATTACCACTCAGATCTCTTATTCTTGAAAATGTAGATGGCCTTTACCCCAAATTACCTTTCTGGTTTCCTCAGAAGAGGAAATATTTGATGCTCCCACTATATTCCTTAGATCTAGACCTATTTACCACCCCTTATTCTCTCAGATCCGCAGGGGAAGGCTCTGGCTCCATCTCTATTGTTGGTACTGAAGTGGGGTGGAGAATTGACTCCTACTGGCCGTGTTCAGGCTGAGGAGCTTGGGCGAGCTTTTCGTTGCATGTACCCTGGAGGACAGGGTGAGTGTTTTGGGGGTTAATACCTAGCGGGGCTGGGGTAAGATGATTAGAGAATAAGTTGCGGGAAATGAAGAGACAGAGGCAATGGGGCAAGGGGCAGTTGGGGGAAATGAAGGGACAGAGGCAGTTAGAGGGGAAATTATTATTCTTTCTTCCACATGGGTATTTATAGCAGTCCATTCCTCGTCCTCCCCTTTGTCCCCAGGTGACTATGCTGGTTTCCCTGGTTGTGGGCTGCTTCGTCTCCATAGCACTTTCCGCCATGATCTTAAGATCTATGCCTCTGATGAGGGCCGTGTCCAGATGACTGCTGCTGCTTTTGCCAAGGTGCATACTACAGTTCTTCCACAGACCCAGCTTCTATTAGGTAGAGAAGCAGAGAGTTTGGAGAGCTAGTTCAGAAATTTCAGGGTGTTCAAATGCCAATTCAGAGAAGTTTCTGCATGTGTCTGACCCCATTTTGTACTACTGAGAATGAGCTGAGCATAATTAGTGGGAGTAAGGCACCTTGACCTATGCATACCCCAGCTCTTCAAGACAGCTCCCATTTGATCTCTAGAACCATCTAGGTGTAGGGGGACTGGCCTGGAGGGAAAACTAATAGACCTTGTGCTTTTCCTGCAGGGCCTTCTGGCTCTAGAAGGGGAGCTGACACCCATTTTGGTACAAATGGTGAAGAGTGCCAACATGAATGGGCTCCTGGACAGTGATGGTGATTCCTTGAGCAGTTGCCAACACCGCGTAAAGGCTCGACTGCACCATATTTTGCAGCAGGATGCACCCTTTGGCCCTGAGGACTATGATCAGGTCAGGCTCTTCCTAACTCGGTGCCCCAAATATCTTAGGTCCTAAATTCCTAGAATTCTCAATAACAGTGATCAATAATAATAGTACTTATTACATGCCAGGAACTATTTTAGGTGTTTTACATAAATTATCTCATTTAATCCTTACAGCAGCCCTTTAAGAGAAGTACATGTCCACAATCTCTTACTTACAATTTCAGAAATTAAGAAGATTTTTATAAGTTTGGCATCAAGACTCATTTGGCAGTCAAACCTGACATGAACTGTCATAAGGTTATTTATGGTCCCTATTCATCCCACTTAGTATAAATAGTCATACATTTTGCTGCAGAAATATTAATGTGTTTGCTTATGCTGTAGGCCCTGCTGGAGGTATTATATAACATATGGCATATGCACTGTATTAACTTCTAAAGTCCAAAAAATTCTCAATTCCAAAACACAGCTGACCCAAAGGATTTTGAATGAAAGAATGTTTCAGTTATCTATTGCTGTGTAAAAAACTATCCCAAAACTTAGTAACTTAAAACAGCAACCATTTTATTATCTCTCACAGTTGTGATCTCAACTGATCCTGCTTGGGATCACTCCTGAAATTGCAGTCAGATGTTGCTTTTGGCTGGAAACACCTGGAAGTTCACTGGGATTCTGGGATGGCTGGCTCTCTTCCTCTTTATGCTCCCCCTGTAATCTCAGGGCCTTTCCTCTCCATGCATTTTCTTCACATGGTTTCTGTAGAATGATAGCTGCACTTATTAAATGGTAACTTAAGGCTCCCCAAAAGCAGAAGCTTCCAAGCTTTTTTAAAGCATAGGCCCAGAATTAGCACAACATAACTGTTATTTTTCATTGGTTAAGTATTTACAGGGTCAGCCCAGATTTTAGGGAAGGGGAAAGAGACAAAGAATTAATGATCATCTTTAATCTGCCACAAAGACTGTGGACCTGTTCTACTTTTCTCCCATTTTACAGATGAGGAAACCTAGGCTTCACAAGAATTTAAGTAACTTTTCCAAGGTCACCCAGTTAGTATGAACCCAAGGAATCTTAACTCCAGAGTCCAGGCTATTAACCACTACAGTATACCACCTCACAGTATTGATTACAGTGGATGCCATTACCCAGCGTGGTCATCCTTTTTCCCATGTATCCTAGCCACAATTGAGCAGGCAATGGTTTTTTCACTAACCTACTCCTCATTTCTGATAGGTTCTTTTTTTTTTTTTTGGCAGCTGGCCGGTATGGGGAACGGAACCCTTGACCTTGATGTTACAAGGCTGTGCTCTAACTGACTGAGCTAACCAGCCAGCCCTTTCTGATAGGTTCTTTTAAAAAATTATTTATTTTTTAAAAATTGTGGTTTCCCTTTAACCATTTTCTTTTTTTTGGCAGCTATCTGGTACTGGGATCAAACCCTGGACCATGGTGTTATCAGCACCATGCTCTAAACCAACTGAGCTAACTGGCCAGCCCCTAACCATTTTTAAGTGTACAGTACATTCACAGTGTTGTGGAACCATTACTGATAGGTTCTTAAATGAACTAAGTAGCTGAGCATATTGCTTAGAGAACAGCATTTTCTGTATTCTATTCTGAGAAGGACTCGATAAGGGTCAGGAACGTGCTCCCTTATTTTCCAATCCTTTGCTCAATGTCAAATCAAAAAAAGCTAAAGCAAATTTCCCTTTCTCCTTGCTTCTTTTCCTAGCAAGAGTGTAGAACTTGTAATGACATAGGTAGAACTGTGCATTTCACTCACAGTCTTCTTTCTCCCTCCCCATTCTTTACGGACTCTGACTGTCCTGAAAGTTTGAGATGGAACCCAGTTCTGAGGCAGCATTTCTACTCTAGGTTCAGGATAGCATCTGGTTTAGAGGAACAACATAATGTTATCTCCTCAGATGGAACCCAGCATTTCTACTCTAGGTTCAGGATAGCATCTGGTTTAGAGGAACAACATAATGTTATCTCTACTATCTACTCAAAAACATTCTGCAGAGATTTTGAGGGATTTTAGTTTAATCTTTATTCCCCCAAATTTTCCATGTGTATTTTAGAGGCCTCAAGAGAAGAACTTAGGTCCATTTTATTTTCTCTAGACACCAAGACTTTTAAGAGTGACCCCTCTTAGATAACTATGTGCTAGAGCAGCCCCCCTCATCTGAAGGCCCTAGAACTACTAGTATGCCCAGCAGCCTACAAACACTTACTGGAGTGAATCAACAAACATATCTGTGTTGCAGACAGTCTCTTTGTACTAAACTCACAGGAATCTGGGCAGTTGGCATTGAGCCTGTCTTGCTTTTCTTCTCTCTATTCCTCACAGCTGGCTCCCACTGGAAGCACTTCCCTGCTTAACTCCATGACTGTCATCCAGAATCCTGTGAAGGTCTGTGGTCAGGTATTTGCCCTGATTGAAAACCTCACCCATCAGATTCGGGAACGGATTCAGGACCCCAAGTCTGTAGGTGGGTATGAATACTAGTATCTTACCTTCAAGTTCTCAGGTATGGTTTCTCAGGCATTCCAGTGTCCTCTCCTAAATGTCTGAGATAAGGCATCCTCATCCCTCTGGTTCTACTTCAGAGTTGTTAGGATCTTTTTTAGAGGTAAATCTTTGGATCTATCTGACTTCCCACCTTCCTTCCAGACCTGCAACTCTACCACAGTGAGACATTAGAGCTAATGCTACAGCGTTGGAGCAAGCTGGAGCGTGACTTTCGACAGAAGAGTGGGCGCTATGATATCAGTAAGATCCCTGACATCTATGACTGTGTCAAGTATGATGTGCAGCACAATGGGAGTCTGGGACTTCAAGGCACAGCAGAGTTGCTACGTCTCTCTAAGGCATTGGCCGATGTGGTTATTCCCCAGGTGTGTCTCATATAAGGGATCTAACCTGGAGATAAGGGCACTGGGGAAGGAAAGAGAGATAAGATGGAAAGGAGAGGTTATTTGGAACCAGGGGAAGGAAATTTAGAGAAGGAATTAGTTGAGTTGACACAATTCTTGGATCCACACTGGCTTTGGGTAAGTACAGGAGGCTCATTGAGGAGATACCTGGAGAGGGGGAATGTGGTGGATATGAAAAAAGCCCTAGACCTGAGATAAAGACAGGCATGATCTTGGGCCTGGGAGTATGAGGCAAGAGGAAAACAAAATTCACTGAGGTACTTATTCCTGGCCTATGGCACCTAGGAGTACGGGATCAGTCGGGAGGAGAAACTGGAAATTGCTGTGGGCTTCTGTCTTCCATTGTTGCGGAAGATACTACTTGACCTGCAGAGAACCCACGAGGATGAGTCTGTCAACAAGCTGCATCCCCTGTGAGGGAGGGCTGGGAGGGGTGCTGGATGGAGGGAGGGACATGTCAGGGAGCCCTGGGGGGATCAAGGCTGGGACAGCTTGGGGAACTGAAAGTAGAAGGGATCCTGGGATGGAAAGGACAGGAGAAGTGTTTGAGATGGGAGGAAGGAGTTTGCAGAAGGGTGGGAAGTGGATTATCTGACTGTATGAGTGATTTAGCTATTATCTCAGGTACTCCCGAGGAGTGCTTTCCCCAGGCCGCCATGTTCGAACACGTCTCTATTTCACCAGTGAGAGCCACGTCCACTCCCTACTCAGCGTCTTCCGTTATGGGGGACTTCTTGATGTAAGAATCCTTCCTCTTTAGCCTGTGAATGTCTTTTCCCAGCATGCTTTTACTTTCCTCCTCATGCTTCTCTTTTACCACAAGCTTCCTCTGTTCTCCTTGGCTCCCTGCTCATTCCCTGACTCCCTTGTCCTTGGGCATTGGCTTACCTCTTCTTGTGTTCGGTAGGAGACCCAGGATGCACAATGGCAAAGAGCTTTGGCTTATCTTAGTGCCATTTCGGAGCTCAACTACATGACCCAGATTGTCATCATGCTTTATGAGGACAACACACGGGTGAGGAGCTAACAGGGTGTGATGAGGAGAGGGCCCCTTTTTTCTACTTCCATTAAAAAAAAATTCCTTATCCTTAGAATTTGTAGAATCCAGCTAGGTGTGGCATGTAGTCACATCATGACACAGGGCATCCAGGAGTTTCCTACTGGAACAGAAAATATGTTCTGGGATGGTGTTGAGCCAGAGAAGTAACCTAGAACACAGCTCTGGCATTAGGGAGGATATGGAATTTGGGACAATGTTATGAGTTTTTCCCCCTCATACGTGGTTATACATATACCTTCTGCCTCTGGCTCCACAAAGTATTTTTAAATGTTATGGCATGTAGTCACATCATGACACAGGGCATCCAGGAGTTTCCTACTGGAACAGAAAATATGTTCTGGGATGGTGTTGAGCCAGAGAAATAACCTAGAACACAGCTCTGGCATTAGGGAGGATATGGAATTTGGGACAATGTTATGAGTTTTTCTCCCTCATACGTGGTTATACATATACCTTCTGCCTCTGGCTCCACAAAGTATTTTTAAATGTGGTGATGCCTCATAGGATCCCTTATCAGAGGAACGGTTTCACGTGGAGCTACACTTCAGCCCTGGAGTGAAAGGTGTCGAGGAAGAAGGCAGTGCCCCGACTGGCTGTGGATTCCGTCCAGCCTCTTCAGAGGTGGGTCAGAGTGCTGGGATTTGGGACTGAAGGACTTAGTAACCAAGTGGTGAGAAACTGGGCAACAGTACAGGGAGGCAAAGGGGTTGGAATCTGGGATTAGGAGGCTGGAAGCCATTAATACCTCTCCTATCTATCTATTATTGAACAGAATGAGGAGATGAAAACAGACCAAGGCAGCATGGAGAACCTGTGCCCAGGAAAGGCATCAGATGAGCCAGACCGGGCTTTACAGACTTCACCCCAGCCTTCTGAGGGCCCTGGCCTCCCAAGGAGATCACCCCTCATTCGTAACCGAAAAGCTGGCTCCATGGAGGTAATGGGAGGGGCTTGGGAAAAAGACAAAGGGGTGGAAATGCTCATAAGACAATATCCATGTATCCTCTAAATCCTCATGGTGGGGAATTCTTGGCACCTGAAGTGGAGTCCTCCTGCTCCTGATTGATATGTTTTACTTAATCTCTCTTTCACAGCTGGTCTTTCAGTAGAGTTTCTTTAATCTGGTTGCTACTTCTGAGATTAAAGAGTTGCCAGTGAAGGGCGCCTGAAAGACAATGGTTTTAAGAGATGAGATTGAAGAGGAGGCCTCTGGGTGAATTTGAAAAGGCAGTTCTTTAAAATGAAATATAGTAGAAACAGCATGAACTCTGGGCCAAAATACCAGTCCTGATACTTAGAAGGTGTGTGACCTTGGAGATAACTCCTTTAAGCCTCAATTTTTTTCATCTGTAAGATACAAGTAATATCCACCTTATAAACACTCAATAAACTGTAACTTTAATGACACACAATTGATATTAAAAGCCAGGCCCTCCCTATTTCTCTGTTTCTTTAGGTAAAAATTATAGCTCAGACAGGAGACAGGTACTTTAATTGAATCCTTTTAGAGTTATCTATACCGTTTTTCCATAAAGGGGATCAGTCTGGAGGTCTTTCTGTTTTTCTCTCATTCTGATGAAGAGATTCATCTGCCTGGGCCTGTGTTCTGCTATTCTTGTGTTTGTCTGTAGTTTTGGTCCTAGTTCTCTAGTCTAGAGGAAGGAACTGTTATCAGTCTCACATTGTGTCCAGCTAACTGTCCTGGGGTTTTTGTTTTGGTCTTCTTCCTAGAAAGACTGTTTCTCTGTTTGGTCCAGTGACACTCTTTTTGCTGCTATGATTTATCCCTGTCTCAGGGACTCTGACTGTCTGATTTGGGTCCTGCCCTCTGACCCAAAGAAACTGTTCACCTTTCTCTGTATCAGGTCTCTATCTTAGCGGAATTGGCTTTTTCCATTTTAGGGATGTTTCAGAAGAATATATAACTAGCTTAAATAGGTACAGCCAGAGGTTTACAGTTCAGATTTTGGAGAAAGCTGAGAGAACAAACTGCAGTGTTCTTTCTGGATTCATTCTTTAGAAGCGCATCCTGATTATTTCAAGGTATAATTGACATTGTGAATATGCAGAGTTTCTTTAGGTGGGGTATGCATTATTTTCTCTTTGAGGTGTAGGTGTAACTTGGTATCTATAGTACTCTAGTACCCTACAAACTCATGTAAAATAGATTGAATGGACAGAATGACACATAATCTGCCATCAATAAACTGCTCCTCCACATTTAAATGTCTTCCCCATTCACATGGTCTGCTAGTCTTCCTGGCACTCTTGTGGTTGACCCCTTTTTTTCTTCTGGTTTAAGGAGACATAGGCAAGAAAAGAACTCTCTGTGTATCATCTTGCAGACTTGATGAGATTGGTTTATTTCTTTCAGGCCTTCAAGAAGCTTCCTGTTGTAATCACAATCCTTCCTTTTAGTTATTAGTGCTGCTTAGGCCCTGGCTTATCTAGGATAATAGTTGCCCAGGATATGCTCCTCAACTTTGCAAGAAAATCTTCTCTCTGCTTTTTGGTCATTTAGCCTTATAACATTAATATTTTCTCCCCTTGCTCTATACAGGCACTGGATAGTCTTAACTTTATCAGCTATATCCTTCCTCCCCACCCCCCATCCCTTGTTCTCCTCTTGTCATCTCGTATTTTTGGACTGTTTTATTAGGTTACAAAACCTGTGACCTTCATAGCAGCTGTGCCCTAGCTGGTCATCCTCTCTACCCCTATAACTATCTCTGCCCTATGGGCACTGGGCTTTTGGGAACCTGGGGATTAAAGGAGCCGTGACCGGCTTTCTACCCGGTCTGATTGCAGGTCATGAACATGCAGTGCACGGGGAACCTGGACCTGATCCCCTTGCGGGGACGGCGCCGCCGGAGGTCAGGAGACCTCCCCCGGCCTTCCCCAGCCATCAGTCTACAGCCCCGGGCTATGTCCACCACTCACCTGGCATCCTGCACACAGGTGTCCCTCCCTCCCTAGCTTTCCTTTCCTGCCTTCTGTCTTTGACTTTTGAGATCTAGGGACTCAAAACACTATCTAGGTGGGATGTGTTTATGTTGGTGGTTATGTGATTGGGCCCCTTGTGAGCATTTTTAAAATCTGTTTCATATGTTCAGGAGTAAGATAGTTGGAGGGGGAGGGCTTCTTGTTTCAAAAAATCTAGCATGGTTGCAGCTGTCTCATAAAAAGAAGCAAGAGTGGCCAGACTTTATTTCTTATTTGTGGCTGATCTGTGATTGGCTGAGTTCTAGGGAGAGATAGACAAGAATAAGGAACCCCACTCTGCTGAGAACTTGGAATGGTTGAATGATTTCTCAGATTTCAGATGGGAGGGCTGTGGAGACAGGCATCTTCAAAACAGAAGTACCTTCTAGTATAGAAAGATTCCCTGGACAGTTCCCTTCACAAAGTACACTCTCTGTTCCCTTTTCATTCCTCTTCTCCATAAATCCTTTGGTTCTTGCAAACTTTCTGACACTGCTTGGCTTTGTAGGGGCAGGAATTCAGGACCTGGATTTTATACTTCTGGGTTGAGGTGGCAAAATAATAATATAGAGTCCTTTTTCTGCAGGTGCTTTCTGAGACTTCATCCTCAAGGCCTGGTGGTTACCGGCTCTTTTCATCTTCACGGCCACCAACGGAGATGAAGCAGAGTGGTCTAGGTATGGTTTTTCAGTGTCTCTCACCTGCTGTTGGAAGGGGGTGTCTGTCTGTTCTTCAGAGTTTTATTGTGGGAAACCTTTGTCATGGGAGTTGGGACCATCCAGTCAGTGGAATTGTCAGGTGGGGGTAGGGAGGATGAAGTGGGAGAAGCCACAGTTAGGTGTGAACTTGGATCTCAGATGATTGTTTCCATCACAGGAAGGTGTTTTGTCTTTTGGTTTTCTATACCAACCCCCATTTCCCTGGCTGAAGGGAATTTTTCTGGCTTTCCCTCTCATTCCTTATCTGTCCCTCCAGTCTAGCCCAGACCTTAAGGGGCCATGGAGACTCTGAACCTTCAGAGTTATCAGAGACAGAGCTATAAATAGAGGTACTCGTGACCCTCATAAGTGTCATATTCCTCATTTGGAGAACTTGTTCCATGTCTTCTTCTGAAACCTGCGTTTTTCACATTACTGCTCTGGCCCTTCCTACCTCCATGTCCTCTTGTCCATCCTCTCCTAATCCTTTAACATTTTCCCCTTCCTTCTGGAAAATTGTGGGACAAATCTGAGATTGGTGTAGTGGCAAAGGCTTCTCACAGGACTTTGAGGGAATGTCTCTTGATTTTTTGATCCCTGGAGAGGGGTGAAGAACAATATTCAAGCTTTTCTAAGAACAAAGACCACAGGAAGGACCAAGCCCCTGAGTGTATTGTATTCTTTGGGAGGGGGAGGTGGTCCTTGGGAGGGACTATTTCTGAACACAGTACCTGTGAACCAGCAACTAGAACTGGAAGTGAGAGATGATAGTGGGGTCTGGACTTGGTTCTCTGGCTCTTTCTATCTTGTCTTATTATTCTCTCTATTTAGCTCCTTTCATTTTTCTGTTACTTTTGTCCTTGGCACCCAATTTCTTGGCTCCCAAATGGTCAGCATTTGGACCAGCAAGAGTAGGAAAGGTTTTGGTAACTTTTCAGATTAATTTTATGAGAGTAGTTTGCCTTCTAGATCCTGAACTTAGGTAGATGATTTAGGGCATGAGAAATAAGTGATAAATGTGTTGATCTGTGATATGGACTTCTCTTCCCAGAAGTCACAATAACAAATAGGTTTCAGATAGGCTGGAAAAGAGGATAGGTGTGTCTGGCCCAGTTAAATGGGAGTGCTTTCAAGAACAAGGCAGATGTATAGACATGGGACTGGTTGACAGATGGTGGTGGTAAGGTAGAGAATACCCTCTGAGATGATCCGAGAACTGGGCAGAGCAGGGTTGGCATGACTGCACTAGAAGATAATTCAGTGGAGGAAGTAAATTTAGGACAAAGCTGGAGGTGGTCTGGGATAGAGCCAGCTTGGATAGGTGTGTCTGGCCCAGTTAAATGGGAGTGCTTTCAAGAACAAGGCAGATGTATAGACATGGGACTGGTTGACAGATGGTGGTGGTCAGGTAGAGAATACCCTCTGAGATGATCCGAGAACTGGGCAGAGCAGGGTTGGCATGACTGCACTAGAAAATAATTCAGTGGAGGAAGTAAATTTAGGACAAAGCTGGAGGTGGTCTGGGATAGAGCCAGCTAGTTTCAGATTCTCTGAAAAAAAGCAGACATGTTAGCAACCCTTATTACTCTCTGGAACCCCATTCCAGAGCCTGTTTGGGCATGAAAGGTAGGGGAAATTGCTGTACAGAGGAGAGGTCTTGAATTCCAGGGTGGAGATTATCAGCTATCTGAGATTCTTGGTTTCTCTGGTAACCCTGAAATCCTGGGACCTTTGATACCACAGTCCCTTTTTTGTGGACTCTAAGGAAAGTGGCCTCCCCTCCACTCTATCCATCTCCCCTTTAAATGTGAAATCTCAAACCAAACCCTATGAAAATCCCAAGAATGTGAGTGTCGGTCTTGTCTCTTCCTAACCACTCTGTCTTCGTGGGCTATAGAAGAAGAGACCATGGAGTCCCAACTTTACTCTAGATCAGATATTGGGGACAGTGACTGGCCTGACTTCAGAGATTTGCCAAGTTTTATTTATTCCTCTGATTGGCAATAAGGTTCTCTTTGCTTTCTTTAAACATATGTGTGTGGGCATCTGGTTTTGAACATAGGGCTTATAAGACAATAAACTTTTTTTTTTTTTAAAGATGACCAGTAAGGGGATCTTAACCCTTGACTTGGTGTTGTCAGCACCATGCTCTCCCAAGTGAGCTAACCAGCCATCCCTATATAGGGATCTGAACCCGTGGCCCTTGTGTTATCAGCACCACACTCTCCCGAGTGAGCCATGCACCGGCCCTAGAAAATAAACTTTTGAGAGCAGAAAAAACATGTTTTCTTGTTGTTTCCTGCTTTTGTTCTCATCAGGGTGCTCAGCACATGATAGCATGGTCTGCAGAGAATCAGATGACTGTTCACATGACTTTCAATTTGTGTCCATCTTGACTTCAGAAGCTATGCTGTTTCCTCTTATGAAAAAATAATTATTTTTTTCTAATGGAATACACTTGTTCTTCAGAGTCAGGAGACCTGGATATTAGTTCAACTTAGCTCCTAACAAGCTGCATGACCTTGAGCAAAGGAGATCCCTTTTGGGTCTAAGTTTTTTCATCTTTAAAATGAGCAGGTTGGGCCGGCCTGGTGGCGCACTGGAGAGTGCGCTGCTTGGGAGCGCGGCGGTGCTCCTGATGAGGGTTCGGATCCCATGTGGAGACCGGTTCCCGCTCACTGGCTGAGCGTGGTGCGGGCGCAACACCGAGGGTTGTGATCCCGTTGCCGGTCCCTGGTACGGGCGCAACACCGAGGGTTGCGATCCCGTTACTGGTCAGTAAAAAAGACAAAAAAAAAACAAAAAAAAAACCCAGACCAGAAAGAAAAAAGTTTATAGAGTTAATTATATAATAACTTCTCTATGTTCATATAGATAGATGTTTTGTGTGTATATATATATATTTACATATATACACATATTTATGCATATATGTACACATATATACACTATATATAGCTAGGAGACATTTTTAGTAAATATGACATGATTATGTAAGTATATTATTCAAATTGATAAGAAAATGGCTAATCCAAAAGTAGTAGCATATATGAATAGCAAATGTTTTCTAGGAGAAGAGATATAATTGGCAAAAATCATGAAAGAATATTCAGGCTCCTAGAAATCAAATGTCAGCTAAAATTGCTATGATGTAATCTTCCTATTCAATTATTGAGTAGAATATATGTATAAATATGTATTTTACCGGTCAGTAAAAAAGACAAAAAAAAAAATGAGCAGGTTGAACTGGATGATCTCTGGGTTGCTTCCACCTTTAAAACTTCAACAAGTCTCATACTTCTATTCTTGGGAAAAATAAAAAGTTCTGAAGGGCAGAGATATTGGTTGAAGAACTTAGGAAGAGTTGGAAAGGTGCCAGATGAGTGCTCAAAATCAAGTCTCTAGTTTCAGTCAAAGCTCTTTCTTTTCAAACCTACAAGGGACTAGATTTCTGGGTTTCTCAAACCCTATATCCAGATAAGGGACACGAATTAAATCTTGGGGGATCTAGAAGGATCTACCTATTCTTTTAGCATTTCTGAGAGCTACCCGGAGAGCACAGTCTATTCCTTTCAGTAGCTTTGAATCTCCTAATATGACTAACCCTGCACTTGTAGTGGCCTCTTGTCTCTGCCATGTAGATCTGCAGGAGAATCCCCACTTTGCTTTCCCAGTGTGGTGGACAGTAGTGAAAGCTGTTTGTGGTTATGTTGAGCCATATGTGGTGGCTCTGACTGGCTGTGTGTGTGTCTTAATGTTGTCATGTGAAGTTGTGTGTACTTTTGTGTGGTAGTTGCAGCTTTGCGTGGCTACTAATACACTCCCGGCCTTGCAGGCTCACAGTGCACAGGGCTGTTCAGCACCACAGTGCTGGGTGGCTCCTCCAGCGCCCCGAATCTTCAGGACTACGCCCGCAGCCATGGCAAAAAGCTACCACCTACCAGTCTGAAGCACCGAGATGGTATGTGGGTGGGTTTTGGGGGGCAACTCTTTTCTTCGCTCATCTCCCAGCAAGGTCACAACTCAAAAACTAAAACTATTTATGCTTAAGATAGCACTGACATGGGCCTTATGAAAAGTTTTCTTCATCAATAATAGATGGGAGAAGGAACAAAGACCCCTTCCACCCCTCCATTTGCATTCCCTCTCTCCATTCAAATACTACTTATTTATGCTTATCCCTTCATAACCTCCCACATACAGCACTGCTGCATCAGTTTGTACTCTTTCCTGGATTCTGGCATATAGGAGTAAGGACCAAGGAGGATGATCAATCATCAGGAAAAATGCAGTGGAGCCTTGACTAAAATCCAGGAAATTAGGTTAAGGGATGGGGAAGTTGCTCAGCTAAGGCAGAAAAGATGACATGAAAAGAGATTGGGGGAGGGAAGAAAATTTCTACAAAGCTTTTATTTCCAAACAATTAGAAAGAGGAGGTGGTGTTGAAATTAGGGTTGATTGTGGGGCCATATTGTGGTAGAAATGACACATAGATTCCTAACGGTTTATACCAAGGGAATAGATTGAAATGTGGTAGTCAGGAATCTAAGGGGTGGAGATGGGTGAAGGTCAAATAACTAACTGTAAAGAAGAGTATATTGTGGGCGAATTCCAGAGCAGAGGGTGGGGACAGGGGTGGGTATAATCCCCATGATGTCTTTTCTCTCCAGAGCTCTTGTTTGTCCCGGCCGTAAAACGATTTTCTGTGTCATTTGCAAAGCATCCGACTAACGGTACGTTCGCTTCTGACACAATGTCATTCCTCCTCACCATGTCACCTCCAGACACTTAAACTTTGACTACTGACATTGACTTTGCCTTTCCTAACACTGTGTTGACACCCTGCTGTCTCTGAATGAGCCCCTCACTAAGTGTCCCTCTTGGGACATTTCCTTTGTGATAACCTTAGCCTTGGTTGCAGCCTGGCTGCCCTATCTCCATGGCATCTTAGATTCTTACTTCCATAATCACTATCATCACCATTATGTCTCTTTTGTCAGCATCACCACCAAAACATTGATTAAACCTCTCCCTTTCCTATCACATGACTACTGGGCTGTTTACAGACATGATAATATTTCTCCTTCTCAGGAAGATAATAGTATTTCCTAGATTGGTCTCATTTCTTCTCTTTTTTTCCCCCACTCCTCAACTTGTATAATTTCAATCTTCCTGTTTTTTCTCCAGCTTTTTTGTTGGGGTAGATGACTAGTTTGTTCCTCTTTTGGAGCAATGCAGCAGTTCCCAGCTCCCAAACCTGCTTGTAAGGGCGTTGGTCTTGAGTATATACTTTCCCATCTCCATATTCCTATCTCCTGCCATTGTGTATACTTTATGTGGCTCTTGTGCTCCTGACATCTGCTTTACGTTACTACTAACCTAGTGCCTGGGCCTAGAAAACAGGAGCCCAGATTGCTTCGGGATAAAAGAGAAAAAGAAAGGAGTAAGAAGTAGTAGGTAAAAACCTCAAAACTCAAAACCTTGAGTTTTTAAATGTAGTTTGCCACAGCCTACCTATGGCAAAGCTGTCTCTGAGAAGCTTGAAGTGTTGAGATGTCTGCTGGGGATTCTGGGGAGCTTAGGAATTCAAGAATATTGAAGAACTGGGTCTGCCCCCAGTAAGGTAGGAGAGTTTGGAGATGTGCGTAAACCAAAAATTGAAGGGTTATGGTCTTTTTGTAGCGTATGGCAGGAGAACCCAGGGCATACTCAATGACATTCTATTTTTTGTCTCCTTAGTTTTCTCTCTGAGTTGTATTTTGTCTTCAAGGTAAATTCAGTTTTGTTACATATGGTTTTCTTCTGTTCAAGAGCTGAGACTCTCTGAGGGAGGTAAAGTTAGCCTGGCTTCCTGACTGGAAAACCTCCATGTGCTGATCTTCTGCCGCCTAACCAGTGGTAGCTGCTAGGTTTCAGCCCAGTCAGGTCATCCATCTCCAGTAGACATTGCTGAAATCTCTCCCTAGGTTGACTACCCTATACTTGCTTCGTTCATCCCCACCCCCAGGCTCCCGTTTGTGCCTGTGGCAGCAGTCCTCATCCAGAATTGCATGGCTGTGCCTACTCATTTAGCTCCAAGCTCTTCTGGCCTTCCTGTGCCATAGTCATCTCTAGAGTAGAACCTGATTCACCAACCCCATAGCCTGAGACTTGAATTTAGTGTCCATAAATAGTACTAGGAACTTGGGCTCCTGAAATCAGAGCTAGATCACATATCTCCTAGTTTCTTAGGTACCATTAGAAAAGACCCAAGTTCATCAAACAAATCCTTAAAACTGTATATTTCCAGTTCCCTGAAGCCTTGGTTAGCAGCCTCATTAGTTGAAGAAAAGAATTAATTTTGCCAGGAAGAGGAGAGGGAGAAAGACCTAGATAATTCAGTTATAGTTCAGGAGAACTAATTCAAGGTCTCCAGCAACCTTCACACTTCCTCAGGGATCTTCTGGACTCCTTTGTTTCTTTGTACTTAAGCTTGGAGGCTAATGTGCTTGAGAAGCCAAAATCTGGGATCTACCTGTTGTCAACAGGAGAAATTTGGAGTTTTTGTGTCTCTTGCTGAAGAAGATTATCTACATTTAATTTCGCCTCAGGACAATGTGAGGGCTCTGCCCCATGGCCAAAATTTTACTTGACTGACCCAGCAATTACAGAGTAGATGCTCTGTCTGCAATTGCTTATAGCAGATTAGTCACAGCAGTGTGAAAACCTACTGTCCCATCATCACCATCTCCTTGCTGTGATGTCTGTCTTTGAAACAGCAGCTTGAAAAACTGGACATGGTTTTGGAAAGGAGGCAAGGCAATGCTGTCTACATACTTTGATGGGAGAGCAGCCTTCAGTCCATCCCTGCCTCTGTTCCTGATAATTTCTGTCATATCCTGTGGTTATATTCGGCACACAAGTATGGTCTGTTACTAAACTGCACGCTGAACTCACCAAAATAAATTAATAAAATTGATGGGAGAGCAGCCTTCAGTCCATCCCTGCCTCTGTTCCTGATAATTTCTGTCATATCCTGTGGTTATATTCAGCACACAAGTATGGTCTGTTACTAAACTGCACGCTGAACTCACCAAAATAAATTAATAAAATGGGAAAGAGACTGTCGCTCACGCTCATCCAGAATGTCAGAGTGTGCCCATTGAATTTGTCCAGCCCATTATCTTCTAGGGAACCACACAACTGTTGTGACCATTGGTACAGTTAGTACTCATTAGACTACCCTGGGTAGAGCTGAAATCTCTCCTGACATCCAAACTAAGGTCTCTAAAAACCAGTCTCATGGTATCACCCTGTGGAACCAGTTCTGATCTAGTAGTTTTGAGCAGTCATCCTCAGTTACCTTGATCCTCCTACCTTTTCTATACCAACATCCTATACTCAATTTCTTACCTATCTTCACAACAGGTCTTAAGACCACACACCTTTCCCCCAAGATCTTTCTCCATGATGCTTCTTACACCCATCTCCACATGCCTTTCACTGCCTTCAGCTTTTGCAGCTGAATCGCATGCACCCACGAAGTTTGCCAAGCAGCTAAAACAATGAGAATCAAAGCTTTTCTGCACACCAGCTGAACAAAGTGCAGTTAGACTCTCCAGCAGTTGGAAGAAAATATAAAATTATCTAACTTTTGGTTTCTGTAGTGTCTCCCAAGTCCTGAGATTTATGTATACTTTTTTTTTTTTTGAAATCTGTTTATTTGAACAACAGTAAGATATAGGATGATAGTTAATACTGGCATTTTCACATATTGATTCTATTTTTTACATGTACTCTTTTAAAGAAATCCCACACGTGGTTTCCCGCCAGTCTTCTTGTCAGTTGCCTAGCATCAGCCCTGTCTGTGGCTATGTTAGAGTCTGGTCAGGAGGGCCTGGTCTGAGCCTTTAGGAGCTGTTTTAGCTTTGGACTATCTTGATACCCAGTACCATTCTTGACCCTCTTCTCTGAGTGAATATGAATCTTTCTATCTCTATCCCAACCTCATACATCTATTTTTCTGAGAAGCAGGCCCTAACTAGGGTTTGTCCAAGAATGATCAGGGACACTGGAGCTCTAGTCAAGGATCCCAGTCACAAAACTACCAGCTCACACCTGTCCAGAATGATGTGACTGCTGTGTACAGCACTGACTGAATTATGCTCAAGGAGGAAGGGGAGGGCCTCGCTGTATGATGAGGTCTCACTAGTCACTTCTTTTAGACTCACTGTGTGATGCCAACACTCTTCTTCCGTGCAAGAGATGCCCAGTGACTCTGACCATCTCCGCTTCTCTCTTAGCTGATCTTGGATCTGAGTGGCCCCCACCTCCCAGTAATGCTTGTGCCAGTCAGTGCCCCCCTCATGTCTCTCCCTCTTCTCTTTCTTTATCTTTGTACTTCCTGCCGTGGTCCCCCCACCCCCTCCAGAGCTGCTAGATGACCAGCACCCTGTGGTCCGGTTGCTGCGCAGTTTTTCCTCTGACTACCCAGGGGGCTGGCCAGTCTCCTTGGATGCCACCCTGGCGCATCACCTGCACCAGTGCTCCTACCACCTGCGCCTCTTCCGGAACTGGCTACGCTCAGGCCAGGATGACCCCGAGTGCCTCTACGGTACCCCCTGCCACCAAGCTGGCTGCTGCCACTTCCCTGGCTGGGACTGACTGCTTTGCTTATTGCACTTCTGGCAAGAGAGCCTACCTGTTCTTTTCTCCTATTTGCTCTAAGGATATGTGACTTGCGTTTAGTTGCTTGGATGGTATTGGGGCCAGACTGCCTGGTAGCTATAGCATTGGCTGCTCATCCCCTTCCTATTCTCCTTTCTTACTGCCCCCTAATATTGTCCATTCCCCTCTTCTATTCAGTACAGGAATAGTCTCTTGCCCTAGAATCTGTTCTTATCTCTCTAACCCTCTATGACCACCGTCTTCAAATCCAAACATTTTTCTAGCCACTCTGAGGAGCTAGGGACTGTACCTCTCCTGCCCTCCTGCGACTATATCACAGGGGGAAATTGAGGTGAGAGACCTCAAATGAATCCTTAAGGCAAACAAGGGCCAGAGGTTAGAAGATGGTCAGGTAGAATCCTTTTGAGTTACATGTTTTAGCCACTGGAGAATAGGAACCTAAGTCTTGCATAGATATTGCTATCCTATCTACCCTTAGTCTTTTTAAGGAGATATAAAGGAGGCCCAGGCAAGTTTGGGGACTTAAAGAGTGGTTGGGATGCATGCTTCTTGATCATCCAATGGGGACATTTTTCCATGAATAGTCCCTGGGATTAGATTTATATATTTAGGTTTCCCCTTGACCTTACCCAGACTGATAGACCTATTTTGGAATTGTTGGGTTTAGAACAGAGAATCAGTATTTATTCTTTTTTCTAGGGGATTTGTCTCATTTTTCTGATGGAATAGCGAGATCTTAGCAAGTCTGGGGTCTTTCAGTAGATCAAAAGGAAGAAGCTTTGATGTGATGGAAATGACCAAGAAAGAACTTTCATGCCCCAGCCTGTTAATGCATGTAGTTTTCCTGGGCTGAGCTTCATGTGCATTGCATGCCCTCCAGTTTGCATCCACGTATTCTAGCCTTTCTACCCACACCTTAAATTTGCATGAACCCCTCCTCAGATTCCATGCTCTCCTCCTTAATCTGGTTCTCTTATTCATGATATCTGAAATCTGCTGTTTCTTCCCAGTTCCCTTTCCCCTCAACATCATGTTAGATCTACAATTTCACCCCTTACCTTTGGATCCTTATTTTAAACCCCCAGAAAGTGCAAGAGCAATGTTGATGTTTACCCTACTGGGATTCTGTTGATTTTTCCATGGGACATTGCAGGTTCTCCATAGGTAGGATGAGAGGTGATTTGATTCACCTGGAGGCCTTAGTATGTAGACTTTTCAGGAAGTCTGGAAGTGATTAAAAGAGACTCCCCTGGGAGCTCTAAAGAGTTCCCTCTCCTGAGAATCTTGGAAACCCCACACTCCAAAAGCCACAGATGCTCCTGATGGCTCTCTGGGATTCTCCATTCTTCCTTAGCCAGTTGGAGTATATCTGGCAGGAATAACATTGACTTTGCCCATCTCTTTTCTAACAGGATTTGAAGGGTGCTCCATGGTGCCTACCATCTACCCCCTGGAAACACTGCATAATGCCCTTTCCCTGCATCAAGTGAGTGAATTCTTGAGTAGAGTCTGCCAGCGCCACACTGATGCCCAGGGACAGCCATCTGCAGGTATGGAGAATACTCTTATTTTGTACCCCTACCTCTGCCCCCACTCCCATGCTTCTTAGATGTGAGAAAGTAATAATTAAAAAGATAGGCACTCTGCAAAGACCCAAAAGTAGACTTGAGAAAATGTACAATTGCATAGGCCAACTAAACATCATAGAAATATCATTCCCTCCCAAGATAATTTATAAATTTAATGTGATCCCAATAAAAACACTGTTGTTTTTAAAAAATCAGACAAATCAATTCTGAAGTTCTCGCTGAAAAATAAACAAGCAAGAATACTGAAGAAAACCCTGAAAAGAAGAGCAGTTAGAGGATACTAGCCTTACCACATTTTAAAACATTCTATAGGGCCGGCCCCGTGGCGCACTCGGGAGGGTGCAGCGCTGGTTCGGATCCTATATAGGAATGGCTGGTGTGCTCACTGGCTGAGTGCGGTACGGGCAACACCACACCAAGGGTTGCGATCCCCTTACCGGTCACGAAAAAGACCAAAAAAAAAAATTCTATAAAATTTCTACAATAAAAACAGTGTAGTATTGGTACATGAATAGACAAGAGAGACCAATGAAACAAAATAGAAAGTCAAGAAATAGATGAAATTAGTATTTCAAAATACTGGTGAAAGACAGACATTTTAATAAATAGAGTTGAGCCAACTGAACAGCTATTTGACAAAAATTAAAATTAAATTCATACTTCACACTATATACAAGGATCAACTCAATATAGACCAAAGATCTAAATGTAAAAATCAAAGCATGTGGTAGGTTGCATATAGAGCTTGTTGCTGTACAGAAACACCAAACATAAAGCAAAAACATTCAGAATCAACTTCATCAGAGCACTGGAAAATAGTCAAAGGTTCGCAGCAACCAGGAAAATGCTGAATCAAGAAGGAAGCAACTTGAAAATGGCAGGAAAACTTTACAGCATTTTTGCTTGCCCTTGCCCCACTCCCCTCCCTGGCTTAGTAGGGGTCTTGAAGATGGTAGCCCATGTTCTCAGTGTGGGACCCTGGTCCCTGGTTCCAGAGGGAGCAGAGCAGATCTTATTCTCAAAGAATTGTGTATGTCTGTTCTAACCTGTCAGTGGGCTACCTGAAGGACTGAAGCAAGGTGCCTCTCTTTGTTTTGCCTACCTTGGAACTCACTCAGGGCAGATAAGTGGCTATGCAGAGGGCATTTCTCAAAAATATTTTAAGGCAAATGAATGACCTGCTGCTTCCTTGGGCAAAAAATTATAATAAAGGCAAATAACAGACATACCGAGAGCCTGGGAGGAAAACCTGGGGAGTTTGGGAAATTAGGGTATTCAAAAGCACCCACATAATACTGGGGAATTTAGAAAGCCATGTACATGCCTAGGGAAGGGCACATATATGGAAATGACCTGAGAAGACCCTAAGCTTTGACCTCTGGCTGAACTCTAGATTCAACACAAGCAGGAAGTGAAGGCTAAGGGAGGGTTGTAAATGGTTTGGCTAAGTGTTGAAGGAGTACTTTGACGTAGAACAAATCTGCAAAGTCTGGGAGAGCTTTCTCTTCTTTTCCTTCTCTTTCCTTTCCTTTTTCTGGTTTCTGAAATTTGAGGAAATCTCTGTCAAAATACTAGCTGAATACAAACTAAGGGAACAGAGACCTCAGAGACCACACATGACAAAGAATGCAGACTTTGCAAAAATAGTTTAGAAAAGTCACCAAACAAACAGCTAGAGCCCACAGCAAATAACAAAAACAAACCCTGAGGAGGGAAATAATCTGATTTCTAGAGTTAACATGTTATAATATCAAAAAGTCCAGTTTTTAACAAAAAAATCAAAGACATGCAAAAAAAAAAAAGTATTTCACAGAAGAAATGAACAGAAATAGTCCCTGCGGAAGCATAGACATTAGAATTACTAAGCAAATATTTTAAAACAGCTATCCTAAATATGCTCAAAGAGCTCAAAGAAACCACAGACAAAGAACTAAAGGAAACCAGGGAAAGTATGTCTCACAAATAGGGAATATCAATAAAGAGATAGAAAATATTAAAAATAATGAAACAGAAACTCTGAAGCTGAAAGGTAGATTACTGAAATGAAAAATTTGCTAGAAGGTTTCATAGAAGATTTGAGTAAACAGAAGAAATGGTCAGCAAACTTCAAGATTGATCAGTTGAAAGTATCTAGTCTGAGGAGCAGAAAGAAAAAATGAAGAAAAATGAACAGAGCCAGAGAGATCTGTGGGACACCTTGAGCATACCAGTATATGCATAACAGGAGTTCTCAGAAGAAAAAGAGAGAGAAAGAGGCAGGAAACATACCTGAAAAAGTAATGGCCCAAAACTTCTCAAGTTTGATAAAATACATGAATCTCTACATCCAAATAGCTCAACCAACTCCAAGAAGGATAAATGCAAAGAGATCCACACTGAGGCACATTATAATAAAATTGTCAAAAGACAAAGACAAAGACAGAATCTTGAAAGCAGCAAGGAAGAAGCAACTTGTCACATACAAAAGAACTTTAATAAGATTAGCAGCCAATTTCTCATCAGAAATCATGGAGGCCAGAAGGCAGTAGTATGATATATTTATAGTACTATGAGAAAAAAAAAAAACAAACAACTGCCAACCAAGAATTCTACAGTTGCAAAACTGGCCAAAAATGAAAGAGAAGTTAAGACATTACCAGATAAACAAAAGCTGAAGGAGTTTGTCACTAGTAGAACTGCCCTACAAGAAATGCTAACAGGAACCTTTCAGGCTGAACTAAAAGGACACTAGGTAGTAACTTGAAGCCAAAGAAAAAAATAAGGAACTCTGATAATGGTAACTACATTGGTAAATATAAAAGCCAGCATTATTGTGTTTTTGGTTTATAGTTCTACTTTTTATTTTGTATATGATTTAACCCCAAAATGAATAAAACAATTATTATAAGTCTATGTTAATCTGTACACAATGTGTGGAGATGTAATTTGTGACAATAACAACGTAAGATGGGAACTGAGATTTATAGCAGCAGAGTTTTTATGTGTTAGTGAAGCTAAATTGCCATCAGTTCAAACTAGATTGCTATAAATTTAGGGTGTTAATTATAATCTCTAGGATAACCACTATGAAAATATCTTAAAATATATACATAAAGGGAAATGAGAAGGGAATCAAAATAGTATACTACAAAAAGGTCATTTAAACAGGAAAGATGGCAGTAATAGAGGAAAGGAAGAATAGAGGGTGAAAAAAAGATATATACAGAAAATAAATAGTGAAATGGCAGAAGTAAACCTTTCTAAAAATAAGTAATTACTTTAAATGCAAATGGATTAAACTTTCCAATCAAAAGTCAGAGAGTGGCAGAATGGATTTTTTTTTTAATGATTAACTATATACTGTCTACAAGAGACTCACTGAAGATCTAAAGAAACAAATAGGTTGAAAGTGAAAAGATAGGGCCAGCCCAGTGGCGCACTCGGTAGAGTGCGGCGCTCCCACCGAGGGTTTAGATCCCATATAGAGACCGGTCCGCTCACTGGTTGACCGTGGTGCAGGCGCAACACCGAGGGTTGCGATTCCGTTGCCGGTCGCGGTACGGGCGCGACACCGAGGGTTGTGATCCCGTTACCGGTCACGAAAAAAGACAAAAAGGAAAAAAAAAAAAGTGAAAAGATAGAAAAAGATATCCATGTAAATAGTAACAAAAAGAGAGCTCAGGTAGTTATACAATATCAGACAAAATAGTCTTTAAGTAAAAAATTGCTACAAGAGACAGAGAAGGTCATTATATATTGATAAGGAGGTCAATTCATCAAGAAGCTATAAAAGTTATAAGCATATACATACCAAACAACAGAGCCCCAAAATATATGAAGCAAACACTGTCAGAATTGGAGGGAGAATTCTACAGTAGTAGTTGGAGACTTTAATACCCTACTTTTAATAATGGACAGAACAACTAGACAGAAAGTCAGTAAGGAAACAAATGACTTGAACAATACTATAAACCAACTAAACCTGACAGACATGTATAAAACATTCTCCCCACCGACAACAGAATACAGATTCTTCTCAAGTGCACATGGAATATTTTTCAGGATAGAATGTATGTTAGGCTACAAAACAAGCCTCAACTTGTTGTTTTAAAAGATTTGAATTTTACAAAATATCTTCTACAGCCACAATGGAATGATGCTAGAAATAAATAACAGAAGAAAACAAGAAATTCACAAATATGTGGAAATTAAACAATGTATTCTTAAACAATCAGTGGGTCAAAGAAGAAATCACAAGGAAAACTAGAATATACTTTGAGATAAATGCAAATGAAAATACAGCATACCAAAAGTCATGGATGCATGGGCTGGCCTGTGGCTCACTCGGGAGAGTGAGGTGCTGATAACACCAAGGCCACGGGTTCGGATCCCATATAGCGATGGCCGGTTTGCTCACTGGGTGAGCATGTTGCTGACAACACCAAGTCAAGGGTTAAGATCCCCTTGCCGGTCATCTTTAAAAAAAAAAAAAAGTCATGGATGCAGCAAAATCAGTGCTCAGAGAGAAATTTATAACTGTAAACATCTACATTAAAAAAGATTCCAAATCAATAACCTATTCTATACCTTAAGGAGCTAGAAAGAGAAAAGTAAAGTAAACCCCCAAGCAAACAAAAGGAAGGAAATAATAAAGATTAGGATGGAGATAAAGGAAATAAAGAATAGAAAAACAATAGGAAGAATCAACAAAACCAAAAGTTGGTTCTTCAAAAAGATCAACAAGATCGGCAAACCTTTAGCCAGACTGACTAAGAAAAAGAAAGAGAAGATTTAAATAACAAAATCAGGAATAAAAGTAGGGACATTGCTATTGACGTTACAGAGATAAAAAGAATTATAAGAGTTCTGTGAACAATTGTATACCAACAAATTAGATAACCTAGATTAAATAGACAAACTTGTAGAAACATACCAACTGCCAAAACTGACTCAAGAAAAAATAGAAAATCTGAATATTCCTA